AAAGAATGCTATGGGCCTTTAAATGGAAATTGTTTAGAATGTGAATCACCTTACTATTTGTATAAATAAAAATGTTAATCAACTTGTCCATCATCATTATACACTGACTTAACAGATAGAACTTGCAAAGAATCTTGTCCATCCACTACTATTATATAAGGTTAATATTGTAAGACCAAGTGTGATATCAATTATTCTTAGTATGGTTAAATTTGTGTGGCAATATGTCCAACATTTACCTACAAATCAAATTCAAAATGTTTACTTTGTAATTCTGTATGTAGGACTTGTAATGGACCCTTAGTAAGTAAGTGTTCTTCCTGCTTGTAAAACTATTTATTAAATAATAATACATGTACATAAACTTGCCCAAACCTATATGACTTCGAAACTTAAAAATGTGTCAGCACCTGTGGTAAAAAGTATGAATTAACTGACTTCAAAAGTTGTGTGACAACTTGTCCAAAAGGATATTTAAAATGTACTAAAAATTGTTTGAAAACTCCACCCGATGGGTATTATTCAGACGGAGTAAATTGCATTTAATGCAATAGCAGATGTACCAAATGCACGTCACAAACTGTATGCTAGGCATGCAGTAAAAACAACTTTCTAACTTTTTAAACCTGTGCTAATTTTTGTATGAATAAATATCTTTATATGGATCCAACAACATAGACTTGCGTTACAAAATGTCCACCCTAACTTTACCATTAAGAATCCTATGATAAAAGGAGTTGTGTTGAGGATTGTCTCTTTGGCTTTAAATTTAATAATTAATGTGTTGATTCTTGTCCTAAAGGAATGTATGTTAATAATAATTTCTGTATGAATTGCCCTTAGACTTGTAAAGAATGTACTTCAGTAACAAATTGCACTGTATGTGGTAAAGATTATTTTTTGGAAAATGGACTTTGTTAATTAAGTTGTTTAGTTGGTAAAACTGATTACAAAAACAATGCATGTGTTTCATAATGCGATCCATCATTATTTGAATATAAAAATAAATGTTTAGAAAGTTGTCCCACAAATCCAGTTGTTTATTATCATTCAAATATCTGTATGGATGCATGTCCGAATAGTACATTCTAGAATAATTAAGAGTGTTTGGATTGCGATGTGTCATGTTCATCATGCATAGGCCCATCAAACAATGATTGTTTAGTTTGCAATGAAACCTACTATTTGCTTGACTAATAATGTATTCTCACTTGTCCTTATTTATATAATGAAGTAGATAGATCTTGTGTTATTTCTTGTCCTCCAAATTTTTTTTAGAATGGAAGTAGGTGCTTTTAAAGTTGTAATTAATACATGTACTTTGATACTTGTGTGTCTAGCTGTCCACCAGCAACATCCCATTCAAATTTCATTTGCTATGATTGCTCTTAGGATTGTCTTGAATGTGATTCTTTTGGCTGCAATAAATGTGGAAATGGATCATTTTTAAATGATGGAATCTGTACTAATTATTGCCCTTAGTTTTACAATATTATCTTAAATCAATGCGAGGAATAGTGTCCAAAAGGTGCATTTCTTTATATCGATCAATGTCATGCATCCTGTCCAGCCAATACATATACATATCTGTAAACATGTCTTTTAGACTGTCCTTGGAAAACTGTTGCAATAGATTCTATTTGCTACTAATGCCCAGAGAGATGCTCAGCTTGTAAAAATTAATATGAATGTCTGAATTGCGACCCACCTTATTACTAATATAAAGGAGAATGTGTAGTGGCGTGTCCAAACGTACTTCCCTATTAGAATAAAGTTTACCATGTATGTTAATCAGAATGTTCTCCAAATACATATGAAAAAGGATATGACTGTATTAAAGAATGCGATTTAATTATTTATTAGAATAAATGTTTAAAAGAATGTCCTTAGGGATATTATGGTGATACTATATGCAAGGCATGTAAATTAGAGTGTAAGGCTTGCACTGATTTTAACATATGCACAGAATGTTCAGACAATTTTTACCTAGAGCATAATTCATGTGATACATTATGTACAAGAATCAAAGATTTGAAATAAAAGAAGTGCGTTGATTCATGTTCCTAACTTTTGTATCAAAATGTGTGCTATGAAACTTGTCCTGTGAATACATATTAATATGGAAATACATGTCTTCAAAAGTGCTTAGATGGATATTTTGGTTCGACAGAATTCAAATGTGAACAATGCCCTTCTTAATGTATCACATGCACAACTTTTAAGTAGTGTAACAATTGCAAAATTGGATATTATTTATAACAGCAATAATGTTTAGAATAATGTCCTGATACATCATTTTCAAATCCATTAATCAGTCAATGTTCATAGTCATGTCCAGATAAAACTTATATCTTTAGAAATTAATGCTTGTATGAATGTCCAAGTGATTATTTTAATGACACAGAAAGTTATAAATGCGTTTCATCTTGTAAAAAGCAATAATATCTTAATAAAAATAGTTGTTATCCCTGCTCTTTTGAATGCGATTAATGCACAGCCTATGGAAATTAATATTGCATATAATGTGCAACTAATTATGTATTAATAGAAGATGGACGTTGTTTTGGAAAATGCAAAGCTGGTTATTATTAAACATCAAATTCTTGTGAAAAATGCTTACATAAATGTCTAACTTGTTAGAATGGCTCAGAATGTTTATAATGCAGAGGAAATAATAGAAATCAACTTGATTGCTCATGTCCAAAAGGATTTTATGATGATCCATTCTATGATAATTGTTAATAATGTCCATGTGAGGAATGTACTTCTGAATCTAAGTGTCTAGTCTGCAAAAATAATCTCTAAGTTCCAAACTGTTCATGTAATAGAAGACTTAATGACGATTGGTGTATTAGTTGTCAGATAGCATCTGTCAATATATATTATTCGGACGATCTAAATTCAATAATAGTTTATTTTGGATATTTAATATCTGTTAATTTAATTAACCCTTTCTAACCCTCAAGTTGTTCTTTTTGGTTTAAAAATGCCGAAATATTTGGACAAAATGCTTAATGCTACTTGTCATGGGACAGATATGTGGTTCACATATTATTGGAGCCCTACGCCTCTGTCAATATTGGAGATAAATTGAGCTTCTAATAATCCTTCTATCGAGATGTAAATGAAGGTCTTTGTGATGGAAAATATATTGAGACATTTATTGATAGTACTGTCAAGGGGCCATCAGCCTAAACTAAACCCTATGTACTTTTTGATGTGCCATCAATTGTGAGTACCTGTAAGACAATTGAAGTGAAGCAAATATTACTGGATGGAACAGCAAAGAGGGTTTAAAAAGTGTTATTTTGGACTCTTCACGAAATGGAAAACGAAAATCATTATTTATAAATGGATGCATTTTTGGCAGATTAAAAAAATGAATTCATCATTCCTATAGGTACCCTAGCCTCTAATGTTACTTATACCATAACAGTCAAATATATGAATTTTATTAAAAGAGTGAATTTCACAACCTTCACGTTCACTACCCTACCAGACCTTATTCCTTATGTTTTTCTATAATATAATCCTTTAATGGCTAGGGTTTATGTTTTCGATTGTAAAAACACATATTCTGATATGAAAAATGAATTTGATGTGGCCATTAAAATTTCTGATTTAGATAATAAAACTTACATTTCCATACAGCAATCCATTAACCCCATTTATGAAGTCCCATTAAATGAATCTCTATTACCAAAAGAAACCCCATTACTTTTTGTGGCATCAACAATAAACTATGTAATTCATGAAAAGTTTTAACTAAAATCTAAAAAGATTGACATTTAATTCCTTTAAAAGGATAGATTTATTGGATTAGACAATTAAATTAACGCAAGAGCCTTTGATAGAAATATATAAGATAAAGTGTTAAGTACTTTAGATATTGAATATTAATGGTAGTGTAATAATTTATTCAATTTATAACCTTGTAAGACAGAAGAAAATAAAATTATGGAATTTCCGTCCAGAAGAATAGCTGATATTTTTGCTGATAGTTAAAATACTACTTTTGTCTTTTTTGTTAAAGCATCCAAGGATAATAGATGGACAGTAAAAGAGTAATTGATTGTTGTCACAGATTTTGAAATCGAGGAAGAATTCGTTTTAAATTAAGAAATCCCTCAAAAAGCTGTCAATCTTAATGATGAAATAACTATTTTAATTAGAAATAATTAAAAATATGCTTTCATTATGCAAGAATTCAAAATTCTGGCATCTATCAAAACTACAGGCTAAAATTTAAAGTTTAGACTCACAGGATTAACAACCGATTACAATAGTCCTGTGTACATATATCTAGTTCCAGGAAATGAATCCATAGCATTTCACCTAAACAGTCCTCCTTCTGAAGTTTAATTCAATGTAGATCCTCTTTTAGGTGAATCTTTAGATTACTTTAACTATTCTATGGAAAACTTTCAAACTGGCTATACATTTAGCATTTATTACTATTTTGATAAGCAGAATCTCAAAAATGATATAAGCCTATAATCAGTTAATAATGGTATCCCCTTGGTGATTAATTCACAAGAAGTGACAGGCTCCTTCTAACTTCCAAATGGAATTATTGATGATGCAATATCTGTTCTGTGTTAAATTGAATCAGAAAAGGGGTCAAAGTCCTATTTAGTTTAGAATATTCAAGTCAATAGAAAAAATTATCAGACTAATAAATTATACTAATCCTTCAATAATCAAACTAATTTTTCAAATTTGCAAAGCATTCATACTATGACTAAATTAATGGAAATCGAATAATAATAGGTCTGCTTGAAACAATGCTCAGGTGTTGGTACATGCATTGACAAAAAGTGCAAATGTCCTCCAGAATATTATTTCGATGATTGCAGTGGAACCACAGAAGAATACAACATTTTAGCAGCCTTATTTTAAATGCTTTGTAAAATTTAAAAAAATTCCAAT